ATATCTGTCCCATTCCAATAGCGGCGGCAATCATGTATCAGATTAGACGCAGGGACGGTTTATATTCTTCAATGACCATGGAAACTACAAGCATTATTCCAAATCTTATTGATGGAATCGCGTTTACTGGAACACAGTTACACGGATGACTCAGAAATCTAGTGAGCATCATGCTAGAAGAGCAGTGCGAATGAACGACTGCATTTCAACGAAAAGCTTACAAAGACCTACCTTTCTTCGAATTATGAAACCACATATTTCTCTGCCTTTCAATAGCATGCACTAATTGACGAAAGAGGCCTTTGGGGGCTTGCGTCGACACTGGTGAGGAGAGCGCTGGATGGACCTTTCCCCTTGAATACTCGTGAATTGAAGGAGAATCAAAGTTTGTTTCTAGTTGGTGGTCGTATCTATTGGTGGTGATTACGGAACGTTGAACAGACGTTTCAGCGGTATTGCGATGTATGGCATTGGCTTTAATTGAAGCTTGGAGCCGCTGATGGCGGTCCTCAGATCCTGCGGGCGGGTTTCCAAAATTAGCGAGCTGCAGAATGAGCTTATCCAAAACCTCTTGGTTTTCTTTGTATCCCCGTTCGAGGATGGATTTGAGCTCAGCGTTTGTTTGTGCGTCTGGTTGAGTCATGTCCAGTTCAATGATGGACTTCTGATGAAGAGCACATCCAATGCGCTCATGGAGGTCATGATACAGGTATCCGGAGATTGAGGATATATCTCCAGAGAATGCATCAACGTAATGGTTTCCGTGATCCAGTATCTGAAGCGCTGAAATCCTGTCATTCATAAATCGTGTCGTGATAATTCGTCCCCCTGCCAGATACTCCTAAATGTTACTTGTCAGTCGCTTCCTAATTAGAGAATGAAGGAAACGCAGATGCCTTGAGAACTTCATCTGTCAACTGCAAAAAGTTTGACTCTGCTCGGGCTCGAGTACGTTCGTTGTATAACGTGTCCCACATCGTAGTTACGACTATCGTTGCTCCAATATCTGCATGAGGTGTCAACAAGGCTTTGAGCATCTCGATGGTCCTTCTCCTTGTTCCGCTCAGTCGTGTTTCCGTGATCGGAGTCAAAAACAGCACCCTGCCAACAGTATATCGACTTCAATCATATTATCAATCAGCGACATACAAACTTGCAATCGAAAGCTTTACGTGTTTTCTCACCCTATTTCTTTTAGCCATTGTATCACCATGCTGATTATTTCAACCTCTGATATTTTGGGATCGGAGAATCCGGGGGTATCGACCAGGTAAACAGGGCAGTATAACGAATCCATCATCTGGGAGACGTTGACAAGCCGGTAGGCGGTTATATTTTGAGTGTATCCACTTAGTTGATTCTTTGAGATAGACAAGGACTGCGAGTCGCTCGCAAGTGCCTCGATGAACTTGGGTATAGAAATATTTAAAAGCGTCGAATAAGTCAACAATGCAAAAAGGGATATGATACATTGGACGCACACTGCTCTTCCCCGCACCTGTTGGCCCCATGATTCTTCATATTTTCAGTGATAAAGTCGAGCACATGTATGCAGGGAAACCCACAGGTATAGGAATGGAAACGAGGAAATGCGACTTGTTACACGCTCTACAGAAATATTCCCAGAGATTCTCAAGTTAGAAAGCTTAGCGTCCAACTCCATCTATGCGACGGAACGACCTTGTTTATGGATAGGGGAAGGGATGAGGTTTAGATGATGGGCGTCGTGGAAAAAGACGTGAGCTAGAATAGGCTTCATCATGTAAGGCGATGCGTTGGCTCTATTGACTAATATTAGATTGATTTGTTATGACTGGAAAACGGTGGGTAAATGAAGGGGTCGTTTGGCGTATGCTCTAAATATAAACGCGAAAACCAAAGAGCACACATGCTTGTCATTCGAATTGATTCAACCAGAAAATTTTGAACGATATATGATATTGTCCCTCCAGAAGGCACCAAAATGTTCATCTTATGCATCTTATCAATGCTTGTCGAACAGTTTTATCGCTGGTGATAAGGGTCGGACAGATTCGGACTCCATATTACGGACGTTAGCAGAGAAAATGCCTTGTTTTTCCTTTCTTCTCGTACTGGCAGCGCATCGAATTTATGTCAGTCCAAGAGGTAGGGCCAACAGAACTTGATCGGCTTCCGCAGTGAAATAGGGGTTACGCTTAAGCGCCAGGATCACCTTCCTTTTTTGGGTTTGTAGTTGTTTGATCCAAAGGCCCTTCAAAAATTTGGTCAGCCCTGGATGTCATAGAGCAAACTCCCAACTGTATATCCGTCAACCCCGTATTCCGTCGTGCATTATAATGGCCAGATCATCGATGGTGGCCAAAGGCAAACAACCCAAAAAGGCCGCCAAGGTCGAAAAGGCAGCCGTGGAGGCAGCAAGCACGACAAAACCAGCTGAAGTAGTTTCTGAAGCGTCAACCTCGAAATCGAAATCAAAACTTACACACGCATCTAAAAAATCGGAACCCGAACCTGAATCAGCAGAAGAAGACGAGGAGGATTGGGAGGACGAGGACGTCGATAGCGATGATGATTCAGAGGACGACGGAGTCGATGAGGAGGGAATGGAGAGGTTAATGAAAGCTCTCGGCAAGGACGCCTTGGACGAATTTGATCAGGCACAACTTGAGGCTTTGGCTGAATCCGACGATGAGGAAGATGATGAGAGTGGTGATGAAGATTCTGAGGACGACGGTGGTGAGGAAGTCAGCGGCGACGAGGAAGGTGAAGACGAGGAAGCTGAACTGTCTGGTGAGGAGGAAGACGACCAGGATGAGGAAGAAGCCCATGAAGAAGAACAAGACGAGGAGGACGAGGAGGGCGTGCCATGGGACGAAATACAGTCAGTGGACGACGACGCGGTTCCTCGTCAAAAAGTCGAAATCGACAACACAGTGCGTCCTTCAACTATGGACAGGGAGATTATAACTGACTTTTTCATGATATTTTACAGGAAGCCCTTGAGCAAATCAGAGAATCCTTCCGGCTGGACCCTGACATGCCCTGGACAGAGACCCTATCATTATCATATCCTCATGCGATAGAAGTCGACGTCAACGATGATCTAAATCGTGAACTCGCCTTGTATGTCTGCTATCTCTATTCTGAGCACAATATAAACTTTTATTCACTCTCATCTCAGTTACAAACAGGCCCTACACGGTGCCAACGCTGCCCGCGTACTCGCTGAGAAGCATAAACTTCCCTTCACCCGTCCTTCAGATTACTTTGCCGAGATGGTGAAGAGCGACGCACACATGGAGCGTATACGTCAACGTCTTCTTAATGAGGGTGCTGCCATCAAGAAGAGCGAGGATAAGCGCAAGGAGAGAGAAGGCAAGAAGTTCGGCAAGCAGGTGCAAGTTGAAAAACTCAAGGAGAGGGAGAGGGCGAAGAAGGAGATGGAAGAGAAATTGAAGGGACTCAAGCGCAGTACGTGTTTTATAATTTTTCATTACCTCCAGCTTCTGATCTTGCTATTTTTTTTCTCAAACTAATAGAGCGAAAAGACGTCCTCGACAACCCCAAAGCTGCCGACGACGACTTTGACATCGCTGTTAAGGATGCCATCGCTGACCGACCCTCAAAACGTGGAAAGGGCTCAGATGGAAAAGGCATCCCACGTAGTGTTAGGGACAAGAAATACGGCTTTGGCGGTTCAACCAATAACAGAAGATCTAAGCAGAATACCCGTGAGTCGACGGATAGCTTTGGTCCTAGTGGTGGAAGGGGTGGTAGAGGCGGGTTTAGCAAAGGCGGTAGGGGTGGTAGAGGCGGAGGTGGTGGAAGGGGAGGCCGTGGAGGAGGAGGAGGAGGCAGAGGAGGAGGCAGCAAGAGGCCTGGAAAGTCGAAGAGGATGTCTGCCAAGAGCAGGTCATGATTTCAGTTTCTATCAGGTTGCTATTTTTTTCTTTCACGATTAGCACGAATTTTGTTGCTGACTGTTTTTACTTCAGACTTGTCTCGTTCCCTTGGGTTACTGCCAGCGTCCCATTGCTTAGTTATCATTGGGAATTTATAATTTTCTGGTTCTCAATTCCATCATCCGGCAAACGGTCTTTTCAGCAGCGTTGTTTCCTGCTACCCTTCATGTTGTTGCAGACGCACCATGTCGCAAAGTTGCATGGATACATATCACTCACGTCTTTGACAATCCCATCTCAAAATAATCTGCTCCGCAGCTTCCATTCTTGAACACTTCCTATGCGCTATTCAACCATTTCCAAATTTTCTAGTTCAAACGTGTCTCTCACCAGCCTCATCCCACTTGTTTTGGTCAATTCTTCGCTCGGTGTTGATGGTATACTCGCGCTGAACCGCGCTTCCTCTTCATTCCAACCCACTCGGCTGTACTATGCCAACTTATTCCATAACATCGTGGTCGACCGTGTCCGAGTTCATCTTTTAGGTTTAGTCTTTCCTGCTTGTCGCTGGGAAGCCCATAAATCAGTCTCACCGGACACTATTCGTCGGGAGTACGGAGTTGGTATTGAATCCGCATGCAGGACTACGGTGACTACCTGTGTGCCGGGGTTGTGCATCGGTGTACACAGACACTCCCCACGCATGCTAATTCAGCCCAAGATTCGGCTTCTTTTTTTCTGTGTCGGTCACCCTGGGTTGCAACTCAAACATTTAGTTTGAATTCAAAGCGGCGGTTGTGTGGTGGTAGTTGATCTAGCCGTGCTTTGCTCTACCCCCCGGTTGAGGATTTGAGGCTAGAAGACGACGGATTTTATATGTTCGACGTTGATTGAGTGGTGTGTATGGTTTGGCGATTTTGGTGTTGATGCCTGTCGAGGTGAACAAAGTGGTCAAGGGCATTGATCGCTTGAAAATGATCCTTTATGATTTGATTTTTCATTTTTTGAACAAACATAAAGAGAGAACTACCAAAATTTTCTGGACTCTTTGATACGTTTACGAGTAAATCTTCAACAAGAAATCCATCAAAATAACAAAACACAAAAAACGCAATTTGACCCCCACCCGGATTGAACGGATGACCCTGAGGAATTACCAGAGAACCTCATGAGAACAATCGTTCACAACAGCTCATACATAACTGGAATCTCATACTCTACCACTGAGCTAGGGGGTCCATGATATGTAAACTGTGAGTTCACAGTCATGCCATTAACACCGCCGTCAGGACACCTTAGGCGCGCGTTAAATCAATTTACTCCCCGACCATGCTGTATTCTCTATCGTTGACCTCAGTTAACGTTGATACCGAGTTCACACGAGATTCAGTCGGTTACTTAGGAGCATATGGTGCGCCATTTGCACATTTATTATTAGTCCTAAACATTTCAAGTGATTTTAGAACTTAAACTGAACTTTTGTAATTACCTTTTAAATGTAAACATCTTTTGGGCGCTTTCATTGTAATTCCAAACATTTTGCGCGTCTACTGAGAAATTTAAGTTATGTTCGAACAGATCCCAAACATATTTGGGCGCTTAGAGCGAAATTCCAAACATCTTTCTGAACCTATCCATATTCTTCAACATTCCTTGCGCGCCTATATGATTTTACAGAACATTTTGAGCGCTTAACACAGCGGGATACAAGCATGTCAAACATCTTTCTGTCCCTGTATTGTAAGGAATAAAAGGTCAATATTTCAAAAGTTCTGTACTTATTTGAGAAAGACTACAAAGTACGATGCCATCGGAGTTTGAAAACGGCATTTACGGCGTGACTCAAGTCATGACACGCATTTCAAGCTCCGCTACCTATACCAAAGCACATTGAAACTCCGATCATACTCTGATATTCAGCAAGCATATAGAAACCATAACGAATTTTGATCTAGTTTTTATTATTTAGACTCTATTTAGAAAATTAGCATGAGTTCAGAAATGGGGCTTTAAGCACTCCCATTTGTTTATGGTGCGCATTTAGCACATTTAATATTTAGTCAAAACATTCTAGATATTGTGACACATTTTGCAAATATTTTTCAAAATCCAATTGAGCAAACCTTTGTGTGATTATGAGCGAGGAAATTATATGGTGCGCCATCTGCACAAATAATAATACGCCCAAACATTTTGAGTAAATTTATAAGTCTGAGTAAACTTTTGTACTTAACTGCTCAAGGTAAACATTTCTCCGGCGCTTATAGTAAATGGTACAAACATCTTCGGGCGCTTCATGTTAATAGAAAGGATATTTGGGCGCTTTGTGTGTCATTCCAAACATCTTATGGGCGCTTACCTCGAAAGCTCAAACATCTTCCATAGTTGCCCATCTCCCTCAACATTCTTGGCGCGCCTACTATGAGTTTATATACATTTTGAGCGCTTAAAGCGAAGGGTACGAACGCGTCAAATAGTTTATAATGTTTGGATTCTAAGGAATAAAAGGTGAAATTTTGAACAAGTTCCGTTAATAACCATAAAAAAGGTTCATAACAAATGATGCCGTCGGAGATTGAAAACGGCATTGACGGCATACGGCACAAATAGTGGACTTTGAATATGGACTTAGATAAGAGATATCATAATCTCAAAGCAGTGCACAGATAAGTGACTTGCGTCACACTCTTCACACAAGGCAGACTACAACGAAAATTATGATCTATTGACAAACGGGGCACCAAATAAAATCTACTACGAAGTAAAATATATGGCGACACTAGAGAGCGAGAGAGAGAGTAAGTGTAGGGAATGGTGAAAGGGGTAGGGATTGGAGAGGAGATAAGGACTGATGGAGCACAGGGAGATAACGACGGCGTGAAGATGAGATGACGAGAAACGGAGATAAGGATGGTGACAGGGTGAGAGAAAATGATAAGGATGGTGATGAAGGGAGCAAGAGAAGGAGATCAGGATGGTGACAAGGCGAGGCAGGAAAATGATAAGGATGGTGATGAGGTGAGAATGGAGTGAGAGAAGGGGAAGAGGCGGGAAAGATAGTGATGGCGGCAAAATTACGACCCTACTACGGAGAATGTATCTACAAATTATACTAAATGATAAACTATGATATGCAAGCCACCAACACGATTGATCAAGTCACAAACAATGCAATTTGGCATAAGGCACCTAAGAGGACAGCCAGCAATAGTCAGCTTCGATAGGGAGCTCTGGCTGACAGTCATGCGTCGGGTAATGATCAGACCCGACATCAAATCCGAGTTCGCTGAACGACTGATCGAGGTCATGATTGGGACTTCCACTGCGACTGTATGCTGGCTCAGTGCCACCTGGCAAATCCGGAGAGCCGAAGGGTTTGGCATCTGAATCGTCATCGCTAACTGATAAATAAAATTAGCAATTTAGCAGCCACACGAGTAAAGATGACACCAACCTGAGATAATATCAGCTGACTTGGGAACCCTTGAACGAAGTTGGCGAGTGGGAGCTGGTGCTGATCGAGCAGAAGTCGACGCGGATTTGAATTTGGTAGCAGATTTGGACGATGGTGCTGGGGGTGCGTCGGACTCGTCGTCGGAGCCATCGTCATCGGATATGCGAATTTTGGCAGTTGAGACTATAAGATAAGGTTAAATCGCGATTGATAAGAGAGATTAGGTTACTTGCCAATTATGATACCTTTATCATCTCCACCACGCTGATTGCCCGAGATAGCGATGTCGCGCATGACAGAGCCAGTGAAGGGCCCATCGGCTGGGGAAACAAAAAACTTACCACTGTAGGCAGCTTTGAGACATGGCAGCCATTGCCGAGGGCCGTGTTTTGCAGGATTGTAGGCTTGCTTGAGCTTAGCAGCGGCTTCCGGTAGAAGACGACAGATCTCGCCAAAAACACGATCCTCTGACCAATTGTCGTCGAAGATGTAGCCATCAGTATTGGATGCACGGATCGAGAACCCCTTGGAACCAAGATAACCAAGGTCCTTGCTCCAGAAGGCATCACCACGAATGTCAAAGGGCGAGGAGTACCGGTTCCTTTGACCAGGAGGAGCCTAAAAAATGGTGCATGTGTCAGAAGGATAATAAATTCAGAGACAAACGACATGGGAACATACGGGTGTAACACCATACGGCAAAATCATCACCACTTTGACCCTAAATTCCGATCTTTTGAGCACCGGTGCTCGGGAGATGGCACTCGAGCTGGATCCAGTGGACTTCGCAGCAGCTGTAGAAGTCGCGGTGGAGGAGGTTCCCGCACGAGCTCTTGCAGAGGGTCCTTTGCCGCCCTGGTTGTTGGTTTCCTTCCGCGCAGCACCACGGTCGGTCTTGATCTGGGATTTTAAGAATAGCTTGAAGTTGGAAGCGGTTTGAGCGAAGCCGGTGTTACTGTTGTCGGCATTGTCGGCGTTGCTATCACTGTCGTTGGCGCTGGAGTCCCCATCGCTCGTGGCTTCGGGTTCGGGTTCAGCTTTCGCTTTACCTTTCACTTTCGCGCGAGTGACTGCAGTACTGGTGCTGGCAGCTCTGGTGTTCTTTGCAGACGGTTTGGCAGGCTTGGAGCTAGAGCCAGTACGGTTAGCAGGTGCAAAAACAGGACGTAGGGAGGAAGGGAAATTTGGAACAGTAGGGTTTGCTCGGGGTTTCTTGGAAGGTGGTTGTGTGGAGGGCGGGGGTAAGAGTTCGATAGATGAGTCTTCGTCAACCTTGCGCTTGTGGCGGTCAGCCATCGTAGTCGATAAGTATAGTAGAATGCAGGAAGGACTGTAAATGAGTGGATGAGCACCTGAGGGGGGTACTAAGGAAGCTGGTATAACGCACATTTAGAGACTATATATACAAGAAATAATAAAACTAGTATATCTAAAGTATTTCAGACATCTGCAATAAAGATAACGCCTGCACCCATAATCGAGCCCTAGGGAGCCAAATACGGTTGGGCAGCTGTATGGTTTTCATTTTTTGAGACTGCCCAATTGGTAGATCTTCTGACTCTGAATAATAGCCATCGTCCCATTCTTCGGGACGGACATAATATCCGTGCGGGATGTATCCTTCTTGATAAACCCTTTCGATAGACGTCTTGAAAACAGCCAGTGCTGCATCGTTGAAGGGACAATTGCCTTGCGGAACGTCAATCGCTTCATGATGAATGTTGGGGTCGACATCTTCAGCAGGGTTGACCCCGTTTCCTGCCTCATCGTCGCTATCGTCGCTATTGTCGCCATCTTGGATTTCGTTGTCGTCTGTTGCGCTCATGTCGGTTTCATCATCTTCCAGATCTTCATCGCTATCTGACCATGTCTCTTCTTCGTCTGAGGGATTGAAGTCAGAGTCGGTGTCGGTATCAGCACCGTTGGTGACTTTGGGTTCTTGCTCCTCATCGTCTGATTGTGCCTCATCTCCACTCCCTGCGCTCTCTTTTGGATGCTGATAGAACTGATGTATTTCGTCCACCGATAGGCCTTTGCACTCGTCACCAAAAGTGAACGACCCTGTAGAGTTGTCATAAACCCCGTATTTGATCATCCCTTCAACCTCGAGATCCTGTTTTAATAATGTATTAGTTCCATGCAACAAATGAGGAGCGAAATTAATTACGTTTGGGCACTTGCTGCCTCTATTACGCATTGGATGCACGTTCCATTCCTCTACAAATTTCCTGCAGTCTTCATTGATCATGTCGAGGAATAGGTAATCAATTAACCAACGATGACGAGGGTTTTCTTTGTCGAGATGATGAAGACGACCTAGACGAAGGAAGAACACCCTCCATGCCCGACAAAAACGACGTCCTAGCTCGACCCATAGCCGCTCTATTGGTGTGTTGTGAACGCTGGGACCCCATAAAAAGCTGCCACGATTTCGACCACGAAATCTAATCATCGCAATTGATACGTCGCGGTTCTCCCCTCCCCGATCTCCCCGAATCCGTGAGGGGATGCCATGTTCCCAAATGGAGTCGAGAAACATGTTCAACACTGTGTCTGCCGAGTTAGATGTACTGGCCCTAAGCCCGACTATCTGAGATGAAGGCATGAGGCATTGAAAGAATCTAAACCATCTCCCAACTAACCTTTCGAGAGTAGCCGTCGATGATACCATGAATGACAATGCCCCATTTGATGATTTTGTGGTGGCCGTCGATATGCCATAAAGCATGTGGTCTTGAGACGTGATAGCTTCCTCGAGGCTTCTTGGACGCAGCCTGTTGCCTA